TGTGAAACCAAAGTTCTGTTGGTGAAGTCGAGAGGATTTTCTGATGGTGCTGAGACCTTAAATGCCAAATTTTAGCATCTGCTCCCACGCAGGAGCCGTCACCTCCGTACATACCCCGCTCACTCTCGAGGGGTCTCCACTTCCATTTCCATGAAAACTGTGTTGTGTGTCAGAGGAACACAGCTGATAACCTGCTCTGGAAAGGCTGGAGAGACATGGGAGAAGGCTTCAAAAGGAGCAGCTCAATCCAAATTAGGTATTACATAGGAAAAGCCTGGGTGGACGCTTCAGGAAATAGTTGTGGAGACTGACCCAAAGCCCTCTGAGATCAGAGTTGGCCGTCAACAACGACCTTCCCCCAGCAAATCCAAGGTCCTCGTTCCTGGTGGGACCCGTGACAGCCACCAGCCACAGCCAGCTTTGTCCCAGCTCTGGGAACACAGTGGCCACCAGCCTCTGGCCTGCTGATACACCTTTGTATTTGTATTTTTATTTTGAATCAACAGCACTTTCAGCTACTTTTATTATTGTTTTTAATTCTCCTAAGTCTGTATTTGCTTCGGAGGAGAGAATGAAAACTTGGGATGAAATGAAGTGGATCGGGATGGTGGAACAAAAAGGAAAAAAGCAGAAAACATTTCAAATATTATTAAAGTGATTTTTTTTTCAGTAATATAAAACATGAAATTCCTTATAACATTATAGTATTTTACAGTTTTATGAACCTTTCTATTGTGACTTTTATGGAATCAAAAGATGAAGATGATGAGATATTTTAGCATTTATATTTTTCAAAATTAAATGTATACTGAAAATAAAGTAACTTTATGCATTTATGGGAGAGTTCATGTCCATTTTCACTCATTATGTGTCGAGTCTTGTCTGACTGAATTGAGATCCGAGGATCACTGTGGTGATATTGGGGGGTGACTGGCAATTTGGGAGCAGGCGTCACCAGCTCGCCTGGGTTGCCAAAGAGCAGTATGGAGACAAGCCCAGTGGTCCGAGGGGTCTCACCTCCTTCAGGAAGCAGGCGGTGGGTGCAGGGGAGATGCAGCAGGTGGAGACCATGGAGAGGAAGGTCCTGGTGGAGCCCAGGAGCACAGGCAGGGGTGCCTGGCTGTAGCTGCTGGCGTACTCGTACAGATACCTGCGGCAGGGGCAGGATGAGGAGACCTAGCACACCGGGATCGGGAGCAGGAGATGCGGGATTTAGGGGCGTTAGGGGTGCCCGGGGTTGGGAGCCCTCTCCAGCTACCGGGAACGGCGAGTCCGCGCTGCAGGACTTGACCCACAGGGCTGAGGACTGCGGGAGGGGCAAGGGGTTATGGCCACACACCACATCCCATGGCATCCGCCCCCGGTTTGGCGTCCATCACCCGCTTTTGGTCAGCCTCACCCAGGCATCGTAGCAGGAGGGGTCGGCGAGGGTGGTCTGAGTTGAGGACGGTCCCGGCCCTGGTCCCGGAGCCAATCCCGCCTCGGTCCTCCGGCACCGGGGCAGGGTCGCGCCCCGGGGCTGCAATACCGACCGTGCCCACAGGAGGGCACCACTCTCCCGTGCCCCGTGACAGCCCCGACTCCCCCGGCCCGAGTGGGACCGTGTCCCGTTCCCTGGTGGGGTCCCAGCCCTGTTATGACCGCAGCCCGAGCGGGTCCGTGTCCCGTTCCCTGGTGGGGTCCCAGCCCCGCTATGACCGCAGCCCGAGCGGGAGCGGCAGCGCCAGACTCGGCTCCAGCGCCCGCCCCGGAGCGGCTCCTCCCGCCCGCGGCGATCCCGATCCCAGCCCTAATCCTGCCCCGGTCCTTCGGCCGCGGGACCCGCACCCGCCGCCGGGCGAGAGGCGGCACCGGCCGGGACCCGCAGCGGGCAGAACCCCCGGGAACGAGCCCCTGGAACGAACCCCGGGAACGAACTCCCGGACTTATTAGTAAGGTGTTTGAAATCCTCAAAAGCTCAGTAATGACAGAACTGTGTAACTACCTTTATCAGCTCATCTCTAATTTCAGCATGTCACAAGAAGCTGTGCAGAAATACCCATCTCAGCAAAGATCCCCCAGAGCAGTCCAAATCCAAGGGTGCTTCAGTTCAGCTGTGCACAAGCGCCACTCCTGCTCACCCCTGCTGTGTTTGACAGAACATTCCTTTGGGGAACGTGCTGGTACCTGCTCACGAGGAAGCTGATCCGCCAGACTTAGTGCCTGAGGTAAAAAACACTCTCCAGAGTCATCACCCCAACAAATGTATCAGAGAGAAACACATACTTAGAAATAACCATTGCAATGCCAAGGTTTCATGTTTTAAACATTC